ACCCACCAGTTTTGTGATCAACAGTTTTGATTGTTTCCACCTTGGATGGAGCAGGTTCATCTAGAAGCGTCTCATCTTCCACATCGGCAACAGCCTCCGGATCTTGTCCCGCTTCTAGGAGAGGGGCATCCTGAATGGTGGGACCAGACTGATCTGAAGAAATCTTACCCTCTTGAAGGGACTTGTAACGGTCCTGCATCGGGAAAACGAAGTTTCCGTCGGGCCTCGTGATTTTGAAAACACGATGCAACTTCACAACATCATCAAAGTCCGTTTCATTCAGCTCTTTCAACGATGCAACAAGGTAGTCACCTCTCCATAGAAAGCCGGGGTGGATAACATATCCAACAAACACTCCCGGATTAGACGTGGGATCGAACTTCAAGTCCTTCTTCGGTTTCTGTCTTGGGCCAATCCAGTAGTCTATGCGACATCCGAACGGCAAGAACTGACCTTTGAACTCTTCTTCGAACCTAAGATTCCACGGTGTTCTGGAACCAGAAGGTGGTTCACAAACATTTTGAGATAAACACCAATGCCTTGCGGCGTGCGGCCAGTATGAATGATTCAATCCGGCCTGTGCAAGTGCGACTCGAGTTCCCTCGAGCACGGTTCTGATGCTTCGTTCAGCCACCGCGTTCGTTTTGTGAATGTACTCTTGACTGAGGACATGTCTCCAGCCCATCTGTTCAGCTGCAGCAATTAACTCAGGGGCGTTGTCACTATAAAACGTGCCGACCTCGTCCGACGAGGAAGTGAAATGCTGAAACGCCTTCACAGTGGCTTCCGTGTTTCTTTTAGCAAAAGGGTATGCATATTTGAAACCGGTGGCAACGTCACTTATGACAAGGGCAGAGTACTCATCGTCTATGCCTAGCTCCTGTTCGTCTGCAGTGATTATGAAATCGGCTGTGATGTGCTCAGCAAATTTTCGAGCATCAACTTGTCTTGATCCCCCCCGCGAGCGAGAGGGAGACTTGGTCATCTTGGCGCATTTGCACACTTCGCAGAATGGATTCTTTGGTTGGTGTGTCATCAGGTGCTTCCGTGATGCTGCTTCCTGCCTTAGGGCGCTTTCTGCAAGTGACCTAGGGCTTTTCTTATCGGGATTGCCAACAACATCTTCCCCTGCCAAATCTTTACTTTCTACCGGCTCAGCATGTTCATTTGGGTTGACTTCAATGGGATCATCTGCCATAAGTTCGGCGACAACTCTAGCATGCACCTCAGGATCCTCTAGAGGGGCAATGCTAGGCGTGTACTCCTCTTCCGCTGCATCCTCAGCTTGCGCGGAGGAGGAGTATGACGATTCACTCGATGCACTGCTTCTGCCGACCTGACCTTCCGGTCGGCTTGGCGGTGTGCCTTTGGCGGGACATGCCATGGCTGAGTCGCCATCCCACACGTCGTAGTACGGGACATAATCTCGAACTTTGAGATATATTTTCGTCCCATCAGGCTTCACAAAGAATGGCTTGTCCTTCGCGTACCATATGAAGTCATAACCCTGATTCATGCACTTCAAACCTACAGAGAGAACAGAGGGTGTTTGTGGCAACAAGTATGGATCCGTGTTACCAAGGTCACCTGCGGCCATGTTGGCCTGCTTTGACGAATCACTTGGTCCATTGGCAGTCATCAACATCACGGGATCATTTGAATTATAAATTGCATATTCGGGGCAATTCGCGCGAGTGAAAAGGTCGGTCCCACTGCCAGTGTCAATAATCCATGAACAGTTAGGAGAAAATCTTTTGCTCGCCAGTGCGGGCTTTGCGCCCATGTCTCTCGGGGCGCATTGCCAGCATCCGATCTCGCTGTCACATTCGTACTTGCATCTAGTCGGATGGCCTTCCAATTCACGCCTCACGATGAAGGCGAGCATGGTCGCTCCGAGTCTCGCATCATCTATGCTGACTTCATCATGGGAAAACTGATGGTCGATTGGGTAGACCTTTGAATACACGCGCGGTTTGTCCGCGATCTTAAACTGCTCACCATGTGCTGGTATCCGATTCATTTCAACCTTCGAGCTGAAACGCACGCTCGGGAGGGCAGGCACATGCTTCCAGTCCGACATGAGGTTCCCCTCAGCGATAGGGGCGTTCATCATGGAAGACAACAAGCATCCCAACACACAGACAGCAGCAGGAGAAGGCTTTCCGGAAGACTTTCCCTTGTGACCCTTCTTCTTTTCTCCCTTGGAATCACGGGAAGTGGATCGAGAGGTCGACTTGGAACGATCCCTGCTCGATTTGCGATGCTTCCGATCCTTTCCCTGCTTCTTTTGCTTGTCTGCGGATGGCTCCCTTGACCCTGGAACGGCCGGCTTCGGGTCGATGTGAGCAAACGGGCAGTTTTCACCACGGTCACATCTCCCCTTAGGGTAGAAACGGCACTCTTTCTTTCCCTTTGGGCTATTCGTTCGGCCTTTACCCTTACCCTTCTTGGGCTTAGCGTCTCTTGATGGGGTCCTACCCCTGGCATCGCCCGATGGTTGTTCATGCTTGTACGTGCAATTGTCCCGCCGACACGACCCATACTTGACAAATGCAATGCAAAACCCCTTAGGCACACGTTGGCTCTCAGCGGCGGGTGCGGCTGGCCTACCCCCGTTCTGCCTAGCAACCCGTTCTCGATTGCGCTCGAGCCTTGCTCGAGACAGGTATTGCCTCACAGATTCAATCAAGTAGGTATATGAGTGATCGGCGGACTCTTCCGAGGCGCTCAAATAGACATTCAGGTGGTGTTGCATTTGCTTACTTTTCTTCAGCTGGTTGTAGAACAGAGCCTCAAGCATGGAGTCGTCCGGTGTCTTGGCATTCATTCCTGCAAGAACACCTTCCCAGCTACGCATGAAGGAAGTGAGGTTATCGTTCACGAGCCTCACATTGAGTAGATCTTCCATGGCATAGGTGGCTCCGTGCTTGATGTTCGTGCTCAGGTGCTCGTGCACCATGAGAAGCACTTGTCTCCCACGAACTGGATTCCTCTTCTGTGCCTCTACCTCCTTGAAGGTGTCGACTTGTCTCGCCAGGTCACCCTGAATGATGTTGGTGAGGGCGGACAGCAACTTGGCGTCCAAGGTGAGGAAGGTACCGGGTTCTTTGAGCTCCTCGATTGTAACGGCGGGCTCCCACACTCTGCTGATCCACGTGAAAGCGTCATCGGGGCGATCGGAAGCCGCACACACGGCTTCGCGCACCTTGATACGCCAATTCCTGTAACTCTCAGGAAGCGGGAAGGAGGGAACGACAATCCTCTCCGCCTCCTTGACCTTGGGCTTGTCATGGTCTGCGTCCACTGCGCTCGCCTGCTTACCCAAGATCTTGTTGAGCTTCTTGCGGATCGCTCGTGCCTTCTCCGATGATGATGATGAGGATGAGGATGTTGAGGAGCTGGACGATGAAGAGCTCGGAGAGTCGGAAGGAGACCCACTCTTTCGCTTCTTGTGGCTCTTCTTCTTCTTCTTCTTGTCCTTCTTGCTCTTCTTCTTTTTGTCCTTCTTCTTCTTCTTCTTGTCCTTCTTGCTCTTCTTCCCATCGTCATTCCCATCGTCATCGTCGTCGTCATGATCATCGTCATCATCGGGATCGCCGGCAGGTGGTTCCCCACCGCCTCCGCTTTGGCCATTTCCTGCGCCTGATGGATTTCCACCACCATCGTTAAGGTCCTGTGCCGGAGATGTCGGTTCGTAATCCCCGGCATCCCCGTCAAGATCATCGGCGGCACCTGGCCCATCACGGCGGAGTTCGGTGGAAGCTGACCTGATACGTACCTTAGAACTAAGATCCAGGCCGGGGGGAGGAAACGTCTGTACAGGAGAGGCCTTTGGCCTCAGACCGAAGATCGGAACATTAGAAGAACTACTCTGCTCACTGCGAGATTTCAGTTCATGACGTAGTGCCTCAATATCCCTTGACTGCTTCATGATAATCTCCCTCATTTCAGCAGCGTTCCTGTCCGCTTCCTCCTTCTGCTTGTTGTGGGTGACTTCCCAAAACAATTTGAGCCGTTCATACTTCTGTTCAGCTTCTGAGCGTTGAGCAACCCACTGCTGCCTTGCCTCGTTGAACTCTCTTTCCTTCGCCATTGCCTCTTGTTGGCATACATTGATGTGGTTCACCGCGTCCTGATAGAGTCGGCCTTTTTCCTCAACATGGCCTGCTTGGAGCTGATTGATGATGGCGTCGTGGCGTGCCGAAGCATAGGCAGCCACTTCCTCCGTACTCGGACCTGTGTTGACCACATTCACCGTCTGGCTATGTTGATATATGTTTGGGGCGCTCACATGATGTTGATGAAGGTGAGTCTCATTCTTAGTCATGTGCGCGTGCATCTCTTGCCCAGGTTGATGTCCGGCGAGAGGTTCCCCTCCGCTTCCCATTGAATCCTCCGGAAGGACGACCGAAGTGATGGGCACAAGCGCATCACCTTGGTCGGACTCAGGAAAAACTGCTTCGGGAGCGCTGTGACGGATTGCATGGCGGTTTCCCTTCCGGATGCCCACCCTTGATCAATTCGTTGGCCACTGCTTCGTTCATCCTCGCTATGGCAGGGTGGCATCCGTCGCCGCTTGACGCCATTGCGGCGCGGGTGAGAGCTGACTGTACAAGGTACCAGCGATACGGCTGATAACCTGTTGAAAGGTGGGATCTACCTAAAAGTCAGCACGGGCGGCAGCTTATTTTACTTGAGCCAGTATCATGTCGGTATGCCATTACCTATCAACAAAAGCCACTGAACATTTAGGCTGGAGAATGGTCAAATGCCCAGCTCTGGTACTTTTTCTTCTGCCGCACCTTTCCAATGAGCGCAGCCCTGGGCGCGGGGGCATGCCTAATATCTAGCTTGCCAAAAGGCAAGGAGGCAAATCTTACCCTTTGCAAACCTTGACTAATGCTTTCTACAACTGTCCCACAATCAATCTTTTGGTCAACTGAGCTGTTCAAGCAAGGGAAAGGGGGGTCAAGGTCATGTGGCACAGCGGGCCCAGGGGCTCGTGTTGCTTGTCGAGCTCGCCCATTTTGGCCACTGCTTCCCTCTGCCGCTTCATGACCTCCGTGGAGTACAGGCCTTCAGTTGAAACAGTCCCAGGATGCCGCAAAGCTGTCAGGCCCATTCTAGGGTAAACTCGTGGAGCAGAAAGGCAAGGACCACTCAAGCTTGAAAGATATCTCCTTGGCATCCCCTGGTCATGACATACATGGACAAATTCATGTTCACCCCTGCCTAACACACACACACACACATATATATATATATATAAAGTACTTATACATGCACGCACACACCTGTATATATATATATATGTATATACGCCAAGAAATAATTATGTGTATGTGTGTGTGTGTGTGTCGGGTCTCTTCCTTTCTGCTCTCCTGGACAGAGTTCCTGAAAGGGTGCAACCAACAAATCCACTGCAAGGCGGAAACGTGGAGCCAAACAAAAAACACGGGCAACACCTCAGGACTCCCTTCCCTGCTAAGTAGACTCAGACGGGAACCATCACACGGTACATTTGTACGCCAGTCAACTCCAAAACGAGTTTGTCATATTTGACAGGGGGCAAATATGGGCAAACCACCCGCTTTGAGAAACAACATGGCTTTCAGGGAACCCCACCTTGTCACGTGGGCAGTGCAAGGGTACACTTTCTTGGGGTCACAAAAACAACAACAACGACATACTATACATGAACTTGGTTGCTGTCAACCCCCCTGCAAAAAGTTTAACTTTTTCGGGGTTTAGTGGAAAACACCATTATTTTCTAAAGATCCAACCCAATAGCAGTCAAGTGATGCATTACACATCTGTGGGGGTGGGGCCCTGAGGCAAATTCCTCACTCCGGACTGTCCTCGGCACCGGAGCAGCCAGGCCGTGGCCTCGGTCTCGGCGGACTTCCGGGCGCGGTCGGCGCGGAGGAACTCCAAAACCCGCTCCGCGGTTATGCGGAAGGAGGCCCGGGCCTCCGAAACATCCTGGGAAAAACAGCTTGGCTGGCGGGCAACCCGCGGAATCACATGTTCAGATGAATTTGGGCGTTGTTCCCTGGGTTTGGCATCTAGGATGTTGAGGCCTTGGCAGAAGGGAGATTGAGAAAAATATATGTGATCTCCAGAGTTCTCCCCCAAAAAAAAGGTCACGCGCCCACACCCAAAACCTTGCAAGTTTAAGGTTGGTAGGGGGCAGTCCCAACGCGGAACCATGTTGAAGATGTCTTTGCTTCAGGATTGCTTCAGGCGCGATGTTGTCTCAGGCTGGGCTATGCTGGTCCAGGTGCGCTATGGAAGCAACATGAGCCCAAAGAAATCTACACTTCACAAACCACAACATCCGCAAAGCAAGGCTAATAGCTCATCCAAGAATGTGTTTAGCGACCTGCCAACCCAACACTCATCCAAAAGAGGCCCGTCAGGCTGACACATCAAAAGCATCCGGCCCGGGCTCGCTCAGCTGCCACTTGATCTGTCCACACCCCTCCAGTCCTGCGGGGAGAGCAACACGAAGACCTGCTCCCAAAACTTCGGGAGCTTGACTCGGCTCAGTGGGATGGCGTCCATTTGGAGCTGCAGCACCGCGCAAACGGCCCGATGCCAGCCCACCTCCAAAACGTGCGCCACTCATTGAATACGCCGAGTCTCCATGTCCCCTACGAACATGTGGGATGTTTAAACCGCATCATGGCAACGCGCTTTCGTAGCACTTGAAGCCTGCAAGCAACATTTAGCACATGGGAGGCCACGCTTCAATTTTTGTTGCATCCAGCCAGACCTCAGACCACCAATCCTCCATAGATCGGGCTAGGGCTGATCGCAAGGTCAGCGTGGGGTCCATTGCCGAAACGTCGAGGAACCCATCTGGCGTCCTGAGCTGCATGGAGCCCACGTATATATATATATATATATAGATAAGTTTGAAAGGACTCGGGCCCAATCAACCCCGAGAACGCGTCTTGTATGCACCGGACCAAGCCTCTGGCCAAAAACACGGACGCTCCAACCTTCAACAAACCAGTCGACAACAAAGGACCAAGGACAGCACAAGTTGATGCCTGCTTTTTGGCGGAAGATTGTTGAAAACGAAGTACTGGTCCGCAGCTGTAGAGAAAGTCAACTCAACCACAGGATTGAAAAAGGTTCCATCGATTTACCTTGCAGGATGCATGCTCGCTCCTGGATACATCCAGTCAATCGCTTTGTTGAAACGCCTACGCTGTGCCGCGAAGAACCTGGTGCAGAGCGGTTCGCACGCTCACGCACTCACTCACTCACTCACTCACTCACTCACTCACTCACTCACTCACTCACTCACTCACTCACTCACTCACTCACTCACTCACTCGCTCCCTCGCTCGCTCGCTCGCTCACGCACGCACTCACTCACTCCATCGCCTCGCCTCACCTCACCCCTCAGCTCACCTCACTTGCTCCCTCTCCACCTCACCTCACACTTCACCTCACACCTCACCTCAGCTCCCTCACTCACCTTAGTCGCCTCAATGATCTCACTCAGTTGGCTCACTCACTCAGTTAATGCAATGACTCACTGACTGACTGGCTGACTCGCTGACTGACTCGCTGCTCGCTCCCCGCCAGCCCCGCTGTCCACTGACCCATGAGCAGAACACACAGCACAACTAGCAAGAAAACAAACAAACAAACAAACAAACAAACAAACAAACAAAACAAACACACAACCGCACAAACAAACAAACAAACAGGCCAGCCTACAAACAGGCTAGCAAACAAACCATCGAGCCTGCATATTGTTGCTGCAGCCAAGCTGGAAGGCCGGTCTTGCACGGACTCCGACACAACACCAACCAGCTCTCCCCAAGCGAGCCCAAACCCACCCACACAAAACACAGACCCAAATACACACACGCGCGCACTATGACGCACACACACACACACTCATATGCGACTGGGAAAAATCCCCACCATCACCACAAAAGCCGGGTAGTGACAACCGAGCCACTCCCGAAGCCCTTCTTTCTTCCGAACCCAGGCGCTGTACGAGGAGCCGGCAGCGGCGCTGCATGAGGTTTTGGAAACTTTGCTGCAACTCGGCCACGGTGACGGAAGCCGGAAGCTCAACACTGTCCAGCTCGCGACCCGAGAGCAGCACCCCTTTTACTGTGAGCACCTCGTGGTGGGAGGTGTCCTGGGAAAGCTAGGTGGCGGTGCCAGTAGCAAGGAAAAAGGAGCGAGGACCCTCTGAGGCGCGGAAGACCCGGAAAGGCGCCAAATGCTGAATCCCACAAGGACTGATATTTTTGTTGGACACGATTTTCACATCTTGACGCGGATCAGTGACTCACACACTGTTGTCAGAATGTCCGTCCAACGTCTTAGGGCGTCTCAGGTCGCACGGTGCATCCCTCCTGGATGCGCACAACGTCGTGGAACATGTCATCCTGAAGGCACACGGCGCTGACACGCACGGTCACAGTCAGCTGCACCACCGTTGCCGCCACTTCCGGATCTGGCGCGGAGCGGCTGCAACCCTGTATGATGACAAAGACAAAGACTGCATGACAATGACGGCTCAGTTGGTTCAACAGCATGATGAGCAAAGACAAAGACCATATATAAGTCATAGCTGCTCAGGATGTTCACATCACCACCCTGTAGGGAGCAAAACGCAACACGGTGAAAGCCTTCCCCCTGCCACGCAAGAAAGTTGGAAACAATTCACTCCATCTCTTGTTAGAGAAGCTATTGCGTAGCAACCAGTGTCATCAGCAAAACGCCTCAGCCCCGCGCTCAGCATACATCAGCCACGTGTTGGCGTCACTAAATGTGGGGGTGGGGTGGTTAGGGGGAGTGGGTCAATTGTGTCAAGTAGCTGTCAAAAGCCTACGAAGTGTATCAGCCAAAGCCATGTTTACACCAGAAACAGTTCTAGATTCTGTATATCCAGGACTTGTTCCCCACTTCCATGCCATACGGGTGCATTGCTGCATTGCTGGGTTTTTGGGATTTCCCCACCTGTAGGGCTTGGGTGGGAGGCTAGCCTCCAGCATCTTGCCCGCACTCCAAGGCCACGCCCTCGCTGACTGAAGGCCGGGGTTTTGGCAGCGTCTCCAGCGAGCAACGGCCTGCGGCGATGAGAGCAAAGCTTGCTTCGTTTTTTTGGGTCGCCCCTGTGACCCAAGGGCGCTCGGGACTCACAAACAACCAAACAACCAAACAAACAAACAAGCAAACAAACCAAACAGCCAAACAAAAAAACGACCAACCAACCGAGCGACCGGCCGACCAAAAAAACAACAACAGAACAACACACAATCAATCCAATAAACAACCAAACCAAAGCAAACCAAACAAACCAAACAAACCAAACCCAGCCAAACCAAGCCAAGCCAAACCAAATCAAACAAACAAACACACAACTTCACACAAACACAATGTTCCAATGGAACATTGTAAGTCGCATGTCTAAGGATCAGGAGTAGAAGAAAGAAGCATTATGTAATCATCATTTGACAGAGCTTTTCCCAAAGTGAGAAACTCAGGACTCAAGAGAATCAAGAGGAGCAACGCAAACATTCAGGTTCTTTTCTTGGCCGATGCCGAAGCATTTCCATTGCGCCATAGCGCCCCGAGGCGAAGGGCACAGGCACGCCTCGGTTCCGGAGCTGTTCCTCCAGCAGCCGCCCAGCGCAGCGTCGGGCCTCTGTGAGGATGGCGCGGGCCTGGCGGGGCCGCATGGGAGGAATCCCAAGGAGGAACACATGGGCTTTATGGAAGCCAAGGCAGATGCTACCAAAGTGCAGTTATTTTGTTAAGAGGACCAGGAAGCTGAGGAAACCTCCTATTCCTGCATGGCTACGGGGAAGGAAACTTGAAGTGCATACTAGAGGGTCAAACAGCCTCAAGACCTGCTCTCTCGGCCACCAAGGTTGCAGCATTCAACAGCCCTACCTTTCCGATAAAGAGAGGGTCCTCAAAGTCTGGCTTGTCTTTGGCCATGGCAGCCCGTGCCTTCTGGGTGCCAAAGCAAGGGATCTAGAAGACATGCCAATCTCCTTTCGGTGTTCTCCGTTTGGGCAACTCATGCTGCGCAGTCCCAAAACAATCTTTGGTCGCAAATCTGCTGCGCCCGGCCTCCTCGAAAACGGGCCAGCGTTGCTCCGGGTCATCGAGCGCGTGCCGCAGCAGGCGCTCGCCGCGCGCCTTGGGCAGGGTTGTCGTTAAATTGTTGCTACTTGCTGCCTTCTGAAATTCCCGGCAAGCGAAACCTCTTCCTTTGCTCAGTGTTTGCCCAGAATGCCGGCTTGCGTCGGCTCACGGGCCTGGCCTGCAGCTGGCGGCCGGCTGAGGATAGGCTGGAGGGCGCCTGGTGGTAGTCGGAGCGTCGCTGCAGCAGCTCGGTAATGGGCACCAAATCTGGCCTCAGCCAGCGGTCATGTTTAAACATCCGTCAGGTGTGCACTTGGGTCTGTCAACCCTGAGCCGTGCATGCTAGGGTCTGCAGCTGCATTGCCAATCGACCCAGCCACCAAATTCAAGCCATTCCTAGCTGGCAAGGCCTTTCCTGTTTCGGTTTATGCAAATCTGGCCAGCGTCCGGCCGACGGCATCCCACCCCGCATCCACCAAGCCAGGCGGCAGCTTGCCCTCCGAGGCTGCCGAGCGCTCTCTCTGCGCTGGCGGCTTGAACAGGTTCGGGCCATGGGCCGCCTCCGCTCAAGGAAGCCCATGGGCAGCCAAAACCATGCGATCAATAAATCCCCCTAGCAAACCAACAGCCACCTTGTATAGACTCGGCCGACAGCATGGGTGAAGCTCCTTAAATCCTTTGCAGTGGCAACAAGCATGGGTCAGTTGAGATGTGCACCATGTGCCGCTTCACAAAGGCTCACTTGCAATTTTTAGGATACATGTTTTGCCTTTTGAGCACGTGAGATTTCCGTTTGGCCGTCGTGTTTTTCTGCAGTGAGTCAAACTGACTGTGGAATGCACATCGCCCCGCATCTTTGCCTTGGAATTCCACCCCCATCTCCAGTTCAGCGAGCCACCAACTGCATGCCGCGCCTGCAGCTTGGCCGCAAAGGCTCCGTCGAAGACGTGGCCTGCCTGCAGTCGCATACGCTCCTGGCCCAGCATCTTTCGGGCTTGCTTCCTCAGCCGGGCTTGCGGAGGGGGTGGGCCGATCGTAGCCCAGCTGGAGGGTATTTGGCGCCTCTTTTGTGCATCACACTTGTGCTTGCACTTGGAAATCCCAACTAAGGATGCACTGCGAGAAAGCATCCACAAACAACCTTGCTGACAATAGTGGCTCTGCTGCAACGCTCCCTAATTTTATCGCGCCCTGAGCATCTCAGCAAAGGCACTGCTGCGGGCCCACCCGCAGCGTAAGCTCCGACCAAATCCATGCGAGCTCCTCCTGCAGTGGTCGCAGGCAATGTGAGTGGTGGTTTTTATTACCTTTAAACCTACAAAACGCTTCAGCGAAACCTTCCGCGGAGTGAAGGGCACAATCCGCGAGCATGTTTTCATTTGAGTTTATATAAGTGCTTCCGCGGGTCTTCCGCAGGCAAGTTGCTTCTGGAAACTGAGGAAGGTAGCTTCCGCGAGGGAACTTGTGTACACGGTTTGCCAGTAAACGTCTTGGCAACAACCACCCAGACGAAATCAAGCTACTATGTGCAAATCAAGAAAGCCGCTCCCGCGAGCTTCCGCAAGAACAAAACACCTTCCGCAAACCTTCCGCGCTTGCAGTGCGGCATTAATTACTTTTTGTTGATATGTCAACATTTCTGCATGTTGCATTGAGGGGACAGAACCGCCACACACCGCCACTGATGTGAACAAGATCTATCCCGCGTGATGCGTTGTTTTTGGCCTGAATGTTAAAGCATTTACGTGCGCCGGTTTCAAACCGCACGGGCCGACCCGAGGATTCCCGGGCCAAGCCCTTCCTCTGCAATCAAGTGACAGCCTCAAGATCCATGACACGCCAGGCGAGATCATGCAGCATCCCCCAACAGTCGTGGCCTTCCATTGGTTTTCCTTCGATTTGCTTTGCAATTCCCTTGCAAAACTTAGAAGATGTATCAGCACCCGTACCGCTCCTCTGAAGAGGTGAACACTGGAAGGGCCGCTTGGGACTGTGGAGCTGCCACTGGCCTCTTGGGCATTTCATCCGGGGTGCCGGTGGCTGCATACTCGTTGGTGTCCTGCCCGCGTACATTTCAAGGAACCTATCGACACTTCATGTCCGAGTGGCGCATGTTGCAGGTGAAGGCTTCTCAGGTCTTAGGTGGACACGCGCCAACGTTGTCAGCACCAAGCGCAGAAATACACACACACACAGACACAGATTCAGACCAGACGCACACAAAAACACACCACGCACGCATGCGGACGCGCGCACTGAGTCCTTCATAAGGGTAACTAGCCCCGCGGCGGACCAGTTGTTCGCCAATTCTTGCCATACTTGGCCACTCTCCACGAATGCGCAGCCAAAGCGTGCCCGGGTGATGCCCACGTAGAGGTGCTTCAACTCTGGGATCATCATGGCGGCTGCAGCTATGTTGGGCAGGGCCCTGTCATATTTCCCGCGCTTGCCTCGAGTGACTGTTGGAAGATCCTTGGATTCGCTGGGAAGTGGCGGGAACATGTTCAATTGAATGACAGCTAAAGAATGCTGACCATCCAGCAGGAGCAACCCAGCCACAACACAAATGCACACCTGCGTAATTGTAAACCAAATGCAACATAGATGATTATTTCGGAGGGACGATGACACCAGGAAGGAAACCTAGCATTTCCCACCTGCACAAGCCAAGCATCCTCTGAGGTGGCTGCAGTTGAGGCAAGTTCCGGCCCCAAGTCGACTGTGCGCCAGAGCTTCTGAGGATTTGGCGCCGGGCAGTCGCTGAAGAAGTTGTACAAAATCACAAAGTCATACTCGAGGCCTTTGGACTCCTCAGACTGCGGCTAGAATACAAGCGCCCGCATGATGCACCCAGGCTTGAGTGGATTTCCTTGGGCAACATTGGGCAACGCGGGCACCCCGTCCTGGGGTTGCTGATTTCAGCATGTCAAAGGGAACAATTTTCTGCCAGCGTCTGGTTCTTAGTGGCCTTAGAAACAACATGTGGATTTTTTCCATCTTGGCAAACCGCGACAGAACAACCCACAGGCACGCTTCCAGGATACCTGCAACCGCAAAGTAGAGAAAGGATTGTTCAAGGCTTGAACCTTGACCCCGAGGCTACTGCAAGGCTTGGGGGCTGACCATGCCGATCTACGATGCCATACGCGATAATGTTGGACCTCCTTTATTATCGCTGGTCGCTATTGTGGAAATTTTTTCCTAATTCAGAATCCTGTGACTGTTTTGACGGTTCGCTATTGTGGCAAGTTTTTTGCCCCCCCCAGAAAAATCTAAAAAACGCATAGCTGTTTTCTTCGCTTTCTGGATTTGCTCGGGCTGAGGCTAAACTTGCTAAGCCTTGGTAGCTCCTGTTGAGCTGGAGGCTGGTTCTGAGCTAGCTAGAATTGGGAATTTGTTTTCTTGAAGTGGTCCCCAAACCATCAAATTTAAGATAACTTCTTTACAAAAAAGTGCGGGCAAACAGTCACACAAAGGGGGGTGCCCACAAGAGGCCCAGATCCTCTTTAATGCGATTGTTTTGGGGTCCTCTTTAGTGTCCAGTGCTTTCGGGGTTGCTGAAAACTGAAAACCAAAGCCTCAGCCTTTTACTTTTAAAGAAGGGGACTCATCCTAAGCTCTCCCCAGCTCAAAGGTTAAAGGCCTGAGATCTAGGAAATCGATTTTGCAAGTTGTTCCCAAACCATCAAATTTAAGATGACTTCTTTACACAAAAGTGCGGGCAAACAGTCACACAAAGGGGGGTGCCCACAAGAGGCCCAGATCCTCTTTAATGCGACTGTTTTGGGGTCCTCTTTAGTGTCCAACTGGTTTCGGGGGTTGCTGAAAAAACGACCCTTGGCAATACTAAAGTAGAATTGGCAACACTAAAGGCAATACTAAAGTAGAATTGGCAATACTAAAGTCAGTACTGGGGATCTGAGAGGGGGCCTTGGCAATACTAAAGTAGAATTGGCAATACTAAAGTCAGTACTGGGAATCTGAGAGGGGGCCTTGGCAATACTAAAGTAGAATTGGCAATACTAAAGTCAGTCCTGGGAATCTGAGAGGGGGCCTTGGCAATACTAAAGTAGAATTGGCAATACTAAAGTCAGTACTGGGAATCTGAGAGGGGGCCTTGGCAATACTAAAGTAGAATTGGCAATACTAAAGTCAGTACTGGGAATCTGAGAGGGGGCCTTGGCAATACTAAAGTAGAAGGCAATACTAAAGTAAGTACTGTCCCTCCCAGATCCCCCAGGATCTCCCTAAAGAGAGTCCCGCCGACTGGTTCCACTGTTCCAGGGGGGGGGGGGGGGGTCACACTAAACAGAGTCCAGCATTAATTGAGAATCAACGGTTTGCAGGTTGTCCTTGATGTCTTCTCATCATGACTCATCGCGTTGTGCTTTGTGACATGGACAGCATGCCTGTCCTGGATGGTGAGGATGGTACTTTTGACCCCCAGCGCGCGGAGGCGCGTTCGCGCGTCACTATCCCGCACCAGCACCACACACCGCGTGGAGTCCAGCGTCCGAAGCATCCGCGAGCCACTGCCCATGATCACCTCAATCCCCAACGTGAACCGGAACCCCCTCCCTCGTTGATTGGGGGTTGGACGCTGGGGATAGCTATCGCTCAAACCTGCAAGTTACCTGCGTCGCAGCATTCATGCTGGCTCACGGGACCTTGTCTGGCAGGGGGCTCAGTTTGTCGACCTGATGAAAAAAACGGGTCCACCATGGTCCAGCCGCAAATGGTCAAAGTCCCGTTCAAAGAACGGCAGGCCTAAATTGCAGTCTCTGATTTTATGGCCGAGTCGCCCCCAGCACATTGTCCGTGCGAACAAGGATTGAAGGCTTTCCCAAGCTGCCGGACGCATCTTCCTCGACAGCATCTACAGAGGCAGGGAAAAGCTTGATGAGGAGATCTGAGACAGTGTTGGCAAGCATCACGATTTGCGGGGAAGACCGGTAGTTGAACCCCAGAGACATCTGACAGCAGCTGCGTTCCTCGGTGGTTTGGTCCTCCTCCGGGAACGGCTTTGGATCCAGCTCCTGAAAAGCATCCATGATCTCCTGAAACCCAAAAGCACTGCCCGGGTTGATCGTTTGGCAGGTGTCGCCGGCAATCATCACATCATGTCGGCAAAGAGACATGAGAGCGGTCAATTCTGCTGGAGAGAAATCCTGCGCTTCGTCCACGTACAGCTCGCTGAACAACGCATGATCCAACATGCTGCGCATTTCGGCTGCAACGTCTGTCGCGTCCCAGCGTCGCTTGCCCAACTTGAGGCGCAAATATTCCAGGAACATGCCTTGCTGCGCCGCGCGTGCAAGGATACTGTAGCAGGTGCCATTTTGGTAACGAAACGGACCCACAGCAATGCAAGCATGAAACACATATCATGAACTCAAGGCGCATTGCTATAACAAGTGCCTACCCTTTGCCGCGGCTTCTATTTCAGGGAGGACCATCACAAACATCTAGTCCTTATTCCAGGGCTCTTTCTGCTCACCGGCGCTTTGGTTCTTTCAGTCCTTGCGGATATCCGGAAAAAGAGACCTAGTATAGGACAGCCAAGCGAATTGTGGCCACGTGGCGATAGATGTCGCGCATCTGGTCCTTGCGCAAACAAACACCCATGGACGCGGTGGTCTGTTGACAGTACTGCTCTTGTGTCAGCGACAGCCCTGCTCGGTCAAGGGTCTGCTTCCTGCGGCATGGTCAGTACTTGGCTCACCCCATGGACCCTACAACCGTCTAATCGTCTAAACCGCCAACCCCCCCCCCAAAAAAAAACAACAGAAGAGGGGACCCTGGTAGTGCGCTTTTTGCGCGTTTCGAGGTGCACTACCACAGTCCCTCGGTCTCACAAAAAGATGGCACCATGACCAGCAAATACGGGACAAGTATGGCTATCTTGCAAGCAAGTCTCTCCCTGTAATCATCCAGCGACACACGGCCGCGCAAAGCATCTGGAGGCTTTGCATTGAATGAGCGGAGCTTGTTGTGAAACTCGGCCCAAACCAGCAAGGCCTGACTCTCAGAGCTGACCCTGCAGAAGCAAACAAACAAATGTCATTCTTTCAAATGGATTGAGTAATGAACATGGAGCAACTTGGAAACCATCCCACTGCCGGATTGTCAATTGCTCACAACTTTCCCAGCACCCAAAACGCTCCTCCAAATCCAAGGGGGGGCGCAGGGCAGGCCAATATTCCGCCAGGAAGGTCGGGTACTGAATGGCCGACTTCGAGCTCGGGAGCAGGGCTGCCACCAACTCGTCCCAGGTCATGCAGACCCTCAGCTTTGGTGACTTGGCTTGCCTTTAGGAATGATGGGGGGTGGAAGCTGGTGGAAAGCATTCAAGCTTCTTGTGCCCAAGGCAAGCCGCCACACTCCTGCAATGATCCTTGCTACGCGCACAATACGCCCACATATCAGAGCTGAGCGTCACCGAGCCAGGTGAAGGCCCCAAACGGCCGAAGGACCGCAAAACCGCGCAGCTCTTCCGCAACTCCTAAGCAGGAAGACTTTCTGTGGAGCAACCGATGGCTCTCCGTCACGCAAGAATCGGCTTCGTGACTGGTTTGGGCATCATTGTGAAAATGATGAAGGCGAGATCGAAGCCAATCATGAGTTCTCACCAGCCGGTGACTCGAATGCGACAAACTCTGCTGATCATTGCCTTCTGGGCTTGGCTGAACCATCCGCATGGGCAGCCCAAAAAGCAGCTCGTCCCCTTTTGCAGGAAGGAACCAAGAATGCTAGTCCCCTCCTCCACCACTTGGGAGCACAGCAGTGACGACCGGGTGATGAACAGGCACCTAGCCGCTGGGTCAAAACGGCGGCGATGCAGAATGCGCTGGATGATGCACCTGGGCGGAGGTCTTCCATACGAGTTGGGGGGGGGGGGGGGTTGGGCACCCTCTGCGGGATTCGTTGAACGGGACGCACCACTGAAGCGCCCTTTTCATTGCGTATCTCAGTGAAATGAAAGTTAAATGCTTGGGCTCCTTGTGAGGAGGTAGAAGGACTTGAATTTATGTAAGACATGTTTTGGGAGTATGTTTGGCACAGTGCACCAGGTTGGGATTCGCTGACACGGTTTTGGACAGAACGAGGCATAGAATTGCAAAGGCAATCTGAAAGGCAACATATTCTGCTGCTCCTCCAAGCTGACAACCCAACTATGAAGATCTCAAAGCGTTCATTGCAGGGAGATCCGGATTCGAGAATCCTGGCCTGCGCAAGCGAGTGTATGCATATGGCCCACACGAGTATCTTCATGTATCTACAACTTGTTTTCTCGGCCGCAGCTGATTGACTACCAGGTCGGCCTTCCGAAACTGCGCAGAGTGGTCCTTGCGCCACGTGCTTTGGGCTGTTGGGGGGCCAAATGCTTGTCCAAGACAGTCAAGCAAAGTGAAAATTGCCCAAGGCACACTGTCTTGCCAGTGCCCGAGCGCCCCTGCAGGAACACACTCCCGGGAAGCTCGATGATCTTCCGTTGGGTGCGTGACACCTCCACAAAGGTGTCCCGTTGGCATCGCTGAGCTCGGAGACTTGCGCCTCAGGATTTCTATTGCAGTTTAGTCATGCATAAATGTTGTTGAAACGATGAGTTCTTGGCGCTCCCGGTTGTGGCAGGACATTCTAGCTTGGAGCTGCGGCGCGTGGAATCTAATATGGAACAATTGAATGTCGCTGGGCACCATTGCTTGTCAAGGGGCTCAGCTACTTTGGCTGGCCAAGCAATAAGCATTCGTTGACTGACAAAATCAAGTTCAAGTAGCATCAAAAACACAACTTACGATGCAGGGTTCTGAAGGCAGGGCTTAGGCGTGGGAACAAGGTACGTACTTTTGAGTGCAAAAGGCCTCTGCCATGGAATACGCGGGGCAGGTCTGAAAAAGCAATGCAAAAAGGTGCACTCCAAGCTGCACACCTAGGGCTGAATTCGAACAGTCACATGAAGGTTGCTGGAAGGAGCCCTCTTGTACCCAGCTTCACTGTTGCCTTATACAAAAGCCAGCTTTCGACCATTGCATCCCATCGCGATGTCTCAAAGCACATCAAGAAGCAAACAACCGAACCTAAGAGAGCTCATGATTCTATGGCTAGTGTAGAGCCGCTGATGCTGTGCCCTTGTGCGTTGAGTTTGCCAGTTTCAATGTGTCTCCCTGCCTCCTTGATGACTTGTTTGAAACTTGCTTTCGCCCACGCTCCGCGCAAACTGCTCCGTACCAGAACTTACCTCTATGATTTAGCTGAAGCCAAGTTGCTCAAAGCAGAGATCCGGCTATGCAGCCAAGCCAGTGCTGGCGGCAGGGAGGCTTCACTCATCTGCAGAACGCGGGCGGCGGTGTCCAACGCTTCCTTGGCTGAGTCAAGCTGAGCCACAGCGGATGGGAAGTTTTAGTCGTCTATCAAAAGGCAATCAGAAGCGGACCCCGTTGCATGACAGGAAAATTCGAAACAAGGCGGAGGAAACAACTTTGCTGCGAACCCAAGACCAAATGCAAGTTCAACTTGGACGCGGATGAGGCTGACGCATGGTGTCCGAATCCACGACATTCTGTTATTGTCGCAAACAAACCCCACAAAGGGCCCCTCCCTTTCAGCCAGCCACAAACAAAGGCCATTACTCCCAACCTCAAACATCCCCAAGTATGGGACCTTTGTGGGTAAGCTCGTCTTTGGGCCTTTTCCTATCAATTGGCCCGGCTCCGAGGCACCTCCTTCTGCTCTGTCAGCACTTGCTCCGCCGCCGCGAGCGCCTCAAAGGGGTCGGGCGGACACGAGCTTCGAAGGAACTCGGCGACGCGGGGAACGTGGTACGCGCGCTCCAGCTCGAGGAAGGCGTCCTTGGGTCATGCCAACCACCAGAGGGGGGCCTGCCCGACTTGCCTCGCAGTTTCATGAGGCTCTCTCCCAGGTCAGGTCCAAGGCCATCCATGACATGACATGACATGACCATCATGACCATCATGCGCCGTTTTTGGGCCTTGCGAGTCAGTTGTATCCTCTTCATCCACGTGGCCAAAAAATGGATTCTTGGGTTAAGGCCTTGACCCCATGAAGTCCTGCTATTGCTGAGGGCGTGCGTGAGTTGCTGGCAGGGCTTCAACCAACCGATGTTGCTACTTGCTTATTGCATCTTTATGAACAATTGTGTGACTCTGCTCTTCAGGCGGCTGGCCGGCCCCGCGAGATGCGCAAAGGCAAAAAGCCTGAACACTGGCCACGCGAGATTGAATATGCGTGTTGCTTCTTTTACCGCGCCTAGATATTTGGGCTTGCGGCGCATGCGGGCGCAGAAGGACACTTCAAAAGATGTCGTGAGGAGGCGTTGTGCGACTGTGGCCCGGCCTGGGTTGCGTAGAGCGGGCCTCTGCAGGCTTGGGGCTGCAACAAGGCGGCCAAGTACATACATGGCGCGTGTACTGCCTGTGAGGAAGCAGGCTTGCAACGCAAGTGCTCATGCCAGCCGGCGTGTTGTGACAGCTAGAGGCAGTGGATCCCGCCCTGATTCACCAAACAGCGGCTGGACTTGGCTGGCTGAGCCCTGTGGAGTTCTTCTGACATGTGAGGTTTCCAGGTAAGGCCAGTGAAGGCCAACCAAACGCGAATAGCAAACGCTACGCACGTGGGAGCTGACGGAACTGCGCCGTAATTGTAGCAGTCATGACGCAATGACCCCTCACCACTTCCCTGCTCTGGAACCACCGAGAAGCCTCCCACGTCAAATGAAAATGCAGCTTATGGCTTGCCAAAGGCTCAGTTTGTTGCACAAATTCGTTGGCCCAGGCTTTGATGCGGAGGAACTCCTCCACCAAGAACGAGGCAGTGCCCAGAAACGGGGCATCCGCGAGCTCCAGTGGTCGAGACATGCGGAATGCTTGGGTGCGACAGCACAGGAGCGGTGGAGACTGGCTCACTGATATCGTATTGATGAATCAGACTAATCTCGTTCTCCATGTCCAACTCACGTGAACTCTATGCTTGGGATTCCTTCTCCGAAACGGCGGCAAACATGCCCGGGTGACAAGCAGGGCCGCAGGCTGCATGCAACATGACCCTCCCCATCAATGGCCTTGTTGGGCTGGTGGTGCACTGTTCTGGCTGAATGGCTATGGTCCTCAAAATCCTCAAAAAGGAGTTTGCAGCGAGTCTGAGCCAGTCAGGGCCAAAAATCTGTGCCGACCACTATTGGTCAGCTATAAGCCAAACCCGAGGTCCCTTAGGGATGGCCCTCAGCTCGATGACTCTTCCAAAAACATCTTCTTAGTCCATCCAGCCCCGACCAATCAAGCATGCAAGCAAGCAATCAAATTGAAACCAGCCGAATCAATCAATGGATCAAACTCATCAACGTGAGGTGAAGTCTATCAGCATGTCTGGAAATCCGCAATCAATGGACAGCTTTTTGGATGCTGCGTCAGTCAATCTGGCTAATCGGCCGCGGCATCCTCAGCTAATTGCACCAGCAAACTCATGGCTTCTAGGCTAACGTCACATACACACACACACACACACGGATGTTTAGGCGGCCGATGAACAAACACACACACCCCTTCATTGACGTACATGCGGCATTCCGCACTGCAGTATTTGGACTTGGGCAGGGGCCCCCCCTCAAGGTTGACTAAGCAACAGATGCATGCCGGGCTCCTGTCAACCATGAGGTCAATTTCAGAAAAGAGCGTTGCCATGTTGACGTTCATTGCAGCACTGCAAATTGTTACAGCTCATCCAACGCTGTTTGGGCACGTGGTTCCATTTCACGCTGGTGTCGGGAAGACTGCCCGCGTACCAAAGCTATCCAGAATTCACGAACTTGACAAGGCACATGGCACATGATGGGCGTGAATAGCTTAATTCTGGCGGTGATGCTTGACAGGCCCACCAACCTCAAACTGGGCTTGCTGCTTGCTAGTATGCAGTTAGCTCTGCGATGTTGAGCCACCGGCCTCTTCTTGTTGAGGTTCTGCGCAACTTTTGCCTGCCACCCGCAAACGATGATTCTTGCCAAACAAGCTCGTCTGCTTGTTGTGCAAATGGATCTGAGTAACTGAAATCAACTGCTCGGCAAGCGTGCAAACGAGAAACAAATGCTGCACAAGTGGATTCCTATCATGATAGCGGGGCATTCTAACACCTCATGACAAAAACAAGACGTACGAGATTCTGGTCCGTGCCCCGCCCAAGCTCATTTTCATATTTCAAAGCAGCCACGCCTGCTTTGGGCCCATACGCTGCCACTTCAGCACTTCTTTCCTCAGCTGCCTAGCCCTTGCACAAAGTCGTGGCAATTTTTGGTCTGATTCTTGTCTCCACCGTCAGACCACGCACGACGATGTCAGTGCAAGCAAGGGATCAAAATCTTGCATGATTGTTGGATCCCATGCTGGGCTCGGCACTTTGTCAGCTTTTTGCGCGGCTTTGGCATCAGGGTGGAGCGGACGTGGAAGTGAATCGGCACGCCACCTGAAGCACTGCATTCTGCTGGGCGCCGGACGTGGTACAGGCAGCACATGGAAGAACCCACGCGCTTCAAAATAAAGACTTTGACACATCTGTCAAACTTATTGGATTCAATCGCACTCCACAATAGGGTCATCCATGCAACTTGCATGGACTTGCAAACGTAGCTGGTCGGGGTTCTAGGTCTGGAATGTGTGTCTTCCTCCAGAATCCTGCCAAACTCAAATCTTTCGGGCCTGTACTTTGACTCAAAAGCTAGGGATTGTGCCAGTGATTGCTCGACACACTTGAGAGGCGGGTAAACGAAAGCTAGCCTAGCCAGCCACAACGACGACATGTACGACTCAGGAGTGCTAAGACTAGCAATCCTAAATGAACGTCTAGACATGTCTAGAAAGACAGGTTCCCCAGCTGCAAACATGTGGACGATATTATGGGGAATGCACACGGGGGGGTACCCTAGATAAGGATTTGGTCTTGCGAATCGGGCTTTTTAGGGCCCCCGCCCCCCTGTTCACCCCCCCCCCCCCCCAAATCCTGATTAAATCAGGCATCGTGGGAAGCTCAGCCCCCAAAAGAAGCTAAAGCTTGGAGAACTCCCGCTAGCACAGCTAGCTTTCGTGACATGCGGGCTCACCCGTTCCAGCGCAAAGAAGACTCCTTCGCAAGACGCGGATGGTATCAAAGGCAAGCGAGCCATGCCAAATTGTAGCCAGAGCAGCTGATGCGAAACTCATTCCGGATGCCGTTCCTCGGGGCAGTGCAACAAGAATTGTTTTTGAGCGAATGATTCACACATGTTCCAGCAAATGCAAAACTGTGTCCACAAAACGGGGCTTGTAATCGTTGACCCATCCACGCTGTGACTCACCATTCAAGAAAGCAGTGAGTAACAACTGAGAACTTGTGGGGGATCCCAAGGACCTACAAAGCAAATAACCTAAGCACGGCCAGCCCGTTGCAAAGTTCAGGGCTTGCCGCATGCAGTCTACGAATTGAACCTTTGACGCCGGGGCCATCTCTCTTTCCCTCATGCAGAAGCAGAACATCCATACTCCCGAATACTATTTTGCTGGCGTGGCAACAGCGCCCTTTCTTCATCATTTTTATGGTTGCTTCGTCCGCGACTCAACAAGCTCGTGCGTCTGAAGCGCCGCAACTGCCGCGTGTAGTTCACAGGGAACTCCCCGAAGGAAGTGTTGGTCCACAGAACGAAGGTTGGCGGCCTGGCCTTGGCATGTGGCAAAGTTCCATGCGAACGCGCAGCCGAGAACCTGGGGACATGAACCCGCCAAGTGCGCAAGCAGAACACATGTTAATTGGGATGCTTACCACCTTTGGCTGACTGTCCTCAGCTTTCTGAAGTGGGTGTCATAGCCATTGCTCATACGCCAAGCCTAAAGCCTGGGCTCCCCGACGCGTGTTTGCGTCATGTACTTGATGCTACACCTGAAAAGACAAGCAGCCAAGCTAGCTGAACGTTCCACAGCCTACACCTCGCTGTAGGGGCATGCTCCTGGAGAGCCTTTTTTTCCATCTGCTGGTGCACAAACATGTACAAAGAGTCTGCTGTTGAGATACCGGACAACTTGACAGCACTCATGTCTGATAGTTAGCGTTTCTTGATGAAGGCGTACCAAGTGTCCATTATGGTGTGCTACGCTTTAGCGCCTGTTTCCCCAGCAAGACACTGCTTAGAACTCTGCTTCTCAAGCTCGCCAAGGAGAAGGATTCCTGCCACAACTGAGATACTGAAATTGACGTCAAGCATGGACCAAAAGCGTGGGGTGTGGGCCCCAGTGGTCTGCCTCTGCCCATTCTGCCAGGGCGGAGGCCATCGCAGCATCCACGCCTGGCCACAGCGGAGAGCTAACTCATTTGATTCTGGAGCCCAGGACGAGCCGCCGAAGGCCTAAGATCTACGATTCTAGATCGAGATAACACCCCGATCCTTTCAAGGGGGGACGATGATGGCGATGACAAATCGTGATGTTAAGTCAACATAAGGACGATGGTCACTCAAACTTTCAATTTCCAAGACTTGGCTGCGAAAACGCGGTGGTTTAACCTAAAACGAAAAGAAGGTGAATATGGGTCGAAATCGGTGGACCCAACTAAAATTTCGCTTTTCGCTTGGCTTCACCTCAAACCAACCGAAAATGGAATCCCTCAACTCACAAATGAACCCATGGAGGCCTCCGTAACCGTATGGATCCCGCAAGCCACCAGCCTGTAGCCAGCTGTTGAGGCGGCTGGTGGGCAAGCGCGCGCTCCAGCGCTTGTACAAGGCCAGGCTGCGCGTCCTGAACGAAAAGGGAATCACACAGCGCAACACAAATGCGCGATATTGCGCGATCTTTGGTGAAACGCGAAAAGCTGACAAGAGCATTGAGCCCCGAACATGTATTAGAAGAAAGCGCCAGCTAGCTGAGCCAAACGACTAAGTGTTCCAAATAGTCACCCGCCTGCAAGTTGGGTGGAGACCAAGACCCAGAGGGGTAAACAGCGTGGAAACAGCGTTCAATACAATCTCTACTTACCCCTTAAAACTCCAAGCCCTGGGGAAGTTAATCTTTTACAGACATATAGCCCATGCTACCCAAAAAGTTGAAAAGTTGTGTTTTTTAAGAGGTAAGTCTAGGACGCAGCCCTTGCCAACCTAATTGTGCATTGATCACCGCATTGCTACAAAGTGTGTTCAGCTCGTGAAGTGTGGAACTAAACACATGCTGTTGCTCGCTGCACACTGACCTGCACCCCACGCGCGCACAAATCCTGTGCTATGGCTGCACCAACCTTAGGCTTGCGTGAAAGCTTGACTACATAGGTGTCACATAGAGCGTGTGAAAGCGTTGAGCCACTACGCATTTTTTGCTGTTCTCTTTTTGGGGGAATCACCTGGCATAGCACCGAAAAAATCACTGCCGGTGAGTGAGGTCGCGGCATCAGCGTTGGCAAGTTCAAGTTGTACTTGGCCGACATGAAAACCACCGGCACGCCCCTGATCTGGTTGAACTTCTCAGTGATCCTGGATGCAGCTTGGCTGACCCAAACAAGGGAGAAGCTGCGGGGCGGACCGAGCAATGAAGGGCCCGGAAAATGTCAAAGGCCATGTCGACTTGCCAGCTTGCTGATGGCAGCATTCAGGAAACAGTTCGCATTCCTGATGCCGCTTACCCACTTTCGAAGGTAGGCCTCCGCAAGCTTTTTTATGCCAAAATGAGCCAGCGACCAGCTTGCCCCGACCGCGCGCCTCTCCAAGATATCTTCTCGGCACTTGGGCTGATCCTCCTCATGGATCAGGTCCCACTTATTCACTGCCTGGGGGCTGTTGCTGCTACTGTGCCCCAGGAAATTTGCGTGCCTCTTCTACCAATCGTAAGCACGAGTTTGCGGGCATCAAAACAAGATGCCTTCAATCCGATGGAAAAGGCCTAAGCCCTTTTGACCCGCGCGGTTTTCCCCGGACGCACTGCTGATGTCGAGGCTGCACCATTTTGGCGCGCCCGAACGCAAGGCTCACAAGGCCTCGATTCATCCCCGACAGGTCCGGCACCTGAGTGTCAAACCTCTGTAGTGCTCAACGCCCCGAGGGTTAAGCGAAGTCAAAATCCAACTGATTGGGTCACGCCACTGTTGATTGACATAGGACCTCCAAAGCCGTGGTTTTCGAGGAGTCATCTTTGCGTGACACCCTGTTTTGGGTTCTATATGTTCGATGATTATTTGCAGGAGCTACGTGACAAATCCTGCTGTCTAATTGAGCACCGCCCCGACTCGATGCAATTTTGTCTCAACGCCTGCCAAGTTGAAGAGATTAGCTGATTAGGAGGCCCCTAGACCCCCCCCTCGAAGTCTATTTGACTTTCATGCCAAATCAAACTGCATTTGAATCCCAATCCAGCGCGAAAAACAAAGCAAACATGCCTTGACCTCTGCGTAATGTTCTGGCCCAGCCAATATCGCAAAGAAACACCATCAGCTTGCAAAGATCTTTCCAAGGACATGTTCAAGTTCAAAGGGTATCCGCTCCATACTCCGATGGTCCATAGGAGTTCGGGAAAAGTGGCAGCGAGGGAGTCAGGAACGAGTCGGCTGGGTTCGTCAAAGCAACGGCGCCCCCGCCCCCTCAGACCTGCAAGCCCCAGGCGCGCGGACTCCGCGTGGCGCCGGCAAAGGCCCGCCGCTTGGTGATTCTCAGAAGGGAATGAAAAGGGATGTTGAAATGAAGGGACCAGCGTCAAGGAAACAAGGAATGTTTCATGGGGCGATTCCCCATCTGAGAACCAGCAAGTCACAGGAAGCTGCGCCCAGCTGTCGCAGGGAGCGACTTGGGCGTGGGCACCGCCGGGGAGGCCTCGCCACGGAAGAGCTGCACCGTAGCACGGCGCGGCCTGTGCGAATGGCAAGGAATTTTGTGTGGGATAGCCTCAAGCATACAGCTGTGAGTGTGTGTGCGCGTGCGTGGGTGCGTGTGTGTGTGTGCTCTGGTGGCATCCTTTTCAGGTTGTTTTGAAACACACCTAAAGGACAACCACCATTTTAGGGGGATCAGATTTTGGCGCATGCAGTAATTGCCCATACTACCAAACTCAACCCCACAAATGGCTGGACATAATCATAGACATCATGTCCACCAAAAGGAACTGTCACCGTGCGCATTTGGAAGAGACGATTCGGCCACGACCCCCGCTATCGAAAGTGCTAAAGTGGGGTACCCCATCGCATGCCAACCAGCCTGCAAAATTCTTACAATAGCGGTTACCCTGCACACTGACATACTCCTTGGCCAGGCATTATTCAAGGCTCCCAGCCTGGACTTCCCGTGCTCCGGGGAGGTGTCGGACGTTGGCAGGTTGGGTGAAGACCGGGTCTTTGCCACTTCCCGCACCTGTGGCAACACGACTGCCTGCTGGGTCAACATCCCACAAATCGCCCCAAGCAAAACATTTTCTCCCGTGAACATGGCATCAGAAATTGCAGCAAGGCTGATGGCAAACTATTTTGCTGCTGGTGTGGACTCAGCATGCACCCAAAGCTTGCCAATGTGCACTCCAACGGGACGGGGTGGGCATCGCCCCCTGCGTTTTAAACGCCAGCATTATCCTTCACTTCTCAGATGCAAACAGGTGCATATCCATGAACAAACTCTTCTAGCGATGAGGTTGCCATTGTCTCCCACACCATTTCGAGCTGGGCTCTTAAGTTGTACATTGGAACACGCCCAACTTGGGTGGTGCGACCAGGTCTTTCTAGAAAACAGTTTGGATGCGCTTTTTGTGGATTTCACCTGTTCTTTCCTGTGCAGGTTCTTTTTTAGTACTCTTTTAGTACTCTCTTTTATTATCCTACAGGTGTGGGGATCCACAAAAGCCACATCCAAAACGTTTTCTAGAGTCTTACGCTGTCCGAGCAACTAACCGTTACCCAATACCACCGCCTAGCACATTGCAATTCAGATCCCTCAAAGTGTGGTTTTTCCCGCTCCCCCGCGTCTTTACACGGCGAACCCCCACGTTTCGCCCGTTTCGCCTTGCGCTTGGTGCGCTGCATCTCCTTCTCCCAGATCCGAGAGATCTGGGAGGCGGTGAGGTGCAGCTCTGAGGGCACCTGTCGGCTCTGGCACTGCGCCCGGATCTGCTCTGACACCTCGTGCCGCATGCCGTGGACAAACCGAAAGCCATACCAAACATTACCAAACCACCCACTGCCTGAAAAAACATGACCCTAAAGAAGAATGTTGCAAATTGACTTGCGCCCGTGGGGATGTTAGCAAAGGAGACCTTTGCAAGATTGAGATGTGCCGCAGGTTGGGACCTTTGCTTGGCACTTTCCCGCTCTCATCCTAAAAGTAAAGGGAATGTTGTTCATCTCTATGTAAGCACCTTCGGATGGAAAGAGGCAAAAGGATGCCGGTTTCGTTTGATTTGGCATTCCTAGCCCTGCCACACTCCACCAAAGTTCGGCCTGGGCCAGGAGATATGGACAGGTTGAGCAGGCATCTGTGGAGGGGCGAAGGCTACGCCAAACACCCAACCAATCTTACAATGCATCTACCCATGACGCAATGCCTTTTCATCCAACAAGTCAAGAGGATCTGCCAACCTCCAGGGTTCCTGCATGTTCCTGCCAACCGGTATTGCGCGCTGAACGGTTTTACTATTGACGGCCTTGCCAGGTGCATCCTGTCGCCCCTCTTTCACCGAGATGCGATGACAAACTGGCTTCTTTGCACCAGCAGCCTGGCATAAACGCTGGAGAGCTTCTGCACATAATCCTTAGCGTCCCGAAGCAATGCCCCCCCCCAAACGAGTGAGCGTCTTGGCGAACATCTCTAGTCCCCAAATCGCTCCCAGCACCATGTCCCCAAGGTTGCCCGCCCCCTGACACACACACACACATATATATATAAGAAACATTGCTAAGCGATGGGTGTTCTGTGGGAGGGGTGCGTCACTTCTGCCGTTCCAGTTTCTCCTTTGTCAAGCTATTGCCTGCTTTCGCCGAATTGCAATACTGCAAAATGCTGCCAAGGTGAAAGCAGGCTGGGCAGGTTACGAAAAGGAGAAAAGTAGGAAATAACACAACTGTCTTGCAGGGTTCCTGCAAGACGGATTTCTGGAGATACAGCCGGCGAGGCAATTCGGATACAGGGCAGCCAGGCGGCGAGATATTTTCAAACTCTATTCACCAGCGGCGAGATCGTGGTCCTTCCCTGTTTCCAGCGGCGAGATTCTTGGCTGGTAACACCAATCGCGGCGAGATACTCTAGGAGTAGCTCTCCGCCCAGTCCTGCCCTCGAGAGCCAGAAATCTCTCCAACTTGGGCCTGGTGGCAACCCCCTCAAAGTGGAGGGCTGCTCTGGGAGTAGCTCTCCGCTCCTATTTGTGGGGTCTTACTGAGTGCTTCAGGAAGCAACACAATCCTAAGCAGACGGGCTTGGGCCAAATCAGCCCATGAAGCTCCTATTTGTGGGGTCTTACTGAGTGCTTCAGGAAGCAACACAATCCTAAGCAGACGGGCTTGGGCCAAATCAGCCCATGAAAGACCTCACAAATAGGAGCGGAGAGCTACTCCCAGAGCAGCCCTCCACTTTGAGGGGGTTGCCACCAGGCCCAAGTTGGAGAGATTTCTAGCTCTCGAGGGCAGGACTGGGCGGAGAGCTACTCCTAGAGTATCTCGCCGCGATTGGTGTTGCCAGCCAAGAATCTCGCCGCTGGAAACAGTCAAGGACCACGATCTCGCCGCTGGTGAAGAGAGTTTGCAAATATCTTGCCGCCTGGCTGCCCTGTATCCGAAATGCCTCGCCGGCTGTATCTCCAAAAATCCGTCCAGTGGGAACTCTGCAAGACGGTTGTGCAGCAATGTTTCTTATATATAGGTAATATATATATATATATACATATATATGTACATATACGTACAGGTATACATTATACTACCACCCAGTGCTATCTTTCCACATGCAAACAGAAGTACTACTGGTCAGAAACACCACACATGAATGTACGGAAGGTAGGCCAATGTATGGAACACGCAGCGCAAGGGCCGCTGCGGCGTGCTACGCTCTTTGCTAGTGCTGGTGTCTACTTCTTAGCCATGAAACTTGATTACTGCAAGCCCTCGTGGATGAGGTCGCTTGGTGTTGCTTGCTCGTAGAGGGAACTTCACAATTCCCTTTGCGTTCCCTGGCCCAACTCATCAGGCTAGTGCCCGGGGGCTGTGAGCAGGCTTCAGTACCAAAATCTCCGAAGACGCTTGAGGGAAAACCAAGTAGCACCACCCGCCCTTCCGGGACTGCCAAGGCCTAAACCTGTGCCGAGTGGCCTCCCCGTCTGCTGCCAGCGCTGCTGCGTCCACCTCCCGCAGCAACGCCGTGTAATCCTCTCCCCAACCGTCCAAGGCATGGTGCACCCGCGAGGCCGCCACCTCCGGAAGCGGTGCTTCCCGGGGATCAACACTGATTCCAGCAATTACCTTCATGCACACAAGCGTGGACATGCGTAGGTGCACTTTCCATGCGCGTGCAGAAAGTTAAATGTGCGGTGCGTTTTGCTAAATAAATCGGGAACACGCGAAGGATGTTCAAGTGCAAGCCCCCAAAACCACAGGTATACAATCTTTGCAGCTGATGTCCCAACAACGTGTGAAGCTCAGTCTCTTCCCTCTTCCCCGATTGTTTCAAGAGCAGCTTGCGTGAGTCACGCAGCTGCTGTGCGAGCTGTTTGCTGCACCTCTTTGAGAGGGAAAGAAGGAACACATAGAACACGAACGTACGCTTGACACGCATTGAAGCCGGACTGTCTGAGCGCTAGGATGAA